GGCTGCTCCCAGAGCCCGCTGCCTGCCACCACATGGCCCGCTACCACCATTTGGGACCTACAGCATTTCTGCTGCCTACTGCCGCGGGGATCTTGTAGCATTTTTTAAAAAAGTATAACGCAGAGGACCATTAAAAAAATATATTAAAGTTGACAATTTGAACCTCTTGCAATATGTACTTCAAGGATACACTTTCAGCCGTGGGGACCTCTTGCAAAACATAAAACCAGGACTAAAGCTGAGAGTCATAGAAAGGTATTTAGAATTAAGCAGGGGTTTAACATTTCATAGGCTATTCTAGGCCCTACAAAAGAAGCAACTACCTCATGTGCTTTTAAGTTTATAATACATTTATTCAATGTATTATTTGGTGCCTTAAGCTGGGTGTGGAAAAACAAACTTTCAAACCTTATACTTGGGAAGTATAAAGAGGATCAGAAGACTAGTGTGACTCTAAACAAGTTCAAGACCAGCTTGAGCCACCTGAGATCTTGTCTCTAAAAACCAGGAACAGGTTAGGACTTGTAACCCGCCCGGTGGGTCAGTTATTCTAGGATTGTAACCCGCCTGGCAGGTCAATTATTCCAGGGTCCCCGAAGAGGCGCTATCTGAAAAGACGTGGGCGGGAAATAGGAACGAGGCCAAGCAAGATCTGTTGTCAGAGCCCCCCTTTATTGGCATAATGGCAGCAGCTTATATAGCCCTTGGATAAGGAATTTGGGTTGGGATGGGGGGCAGGGGCATGGCAAGGGCAGGAAGGGATCTTGCCGCACTGGTCACGAGTCGGTCAAGAGGTCACGAGTCAGTCAGGAGGTCACAAGTCCTCGGTCAACACACCTAGTTCTCTAGGCAAGTGGAATCGTTCCTTTTGTGATTCCAACCACAAACAGTTCTCTAGATAGTTGGAATGTGGGGCGGGTTCCGCTAACAGATAGCTCTCAAGATAGTTGGGTGTGGGGGTGGGCTCCGCCAACAAACAGTTCTCAATACAGTTGGGAGGTGGGGCTCTCCGCAAACATCCCCAGGACAATTAGTCCCTGCTATAATTTTGGGGAAAATGGCTCCTGACAAGGACTATGGCTCAGTGGGTAGAGTGCTTGCCTAGCACGTATACAGCCCCAGGACCCATACCCATCACAACGAGAAATGGTTGAACATAGCAGTAATCTCAGAAATCCGGAGGTGGAAGGAGGAGTTGTTCAGAGTCATCTTAGCGACATTAGTGAGTTTGATATAGGAGCCCCTGACTCAAAAGCCAAGACATACTCGTGCCTATAGCAGCAAATGGCAGTTGACAGTGGCGAAGGGACAAGACAGGCAAAATAAAAGCCATGCCCCTTGTGCAAGTATCCCAAAGGTGATGGCAGAAGCAGATGGGGCTGATGGGGCTAGCCACAGGGGGAGAGAGTGACCACAAAGGACAGGAAGGGATTTCTCAGCCTAAGGAACTAACTGTTCAGATCTCGGTGTGGTGTTGTTACAGGCCGTGAACAATTGCTGCAATTCATCAACCACACACACTGCATGAGTCACACTCTATCACCTCAGTAAAGCCGAGGAGCAAAACAAAAACTTCTCTGTGATGCCAGGGCAGTTACAGTAACACTGTGAGAAAGATCACAGGGCCACTTCCAACACAGCCTCCCTCCTATACCACGCAGGACACAACTGCTCAGAACACGGTCAGAAAGTTGACATAACAATCAGGAGGAATTGCCCAAAAGAGTCTTTTCTGGGAATTCCCAAAGTTCCCAGGAGTAAGTCATACTGTGGTGCCCTGTAGCTCAGCGGATGGAGTGCCTGTGCACAGAGCCCCAGGTGCCGCTGTGCAGGTCTATAATCCCAGCATTGGGAAGGTGAGGGCAGGAGGCCCACAGTTCAAGATCAACCCCAATGACAAAGAGTTGACCAGCCAGAACTCTACGTGAGAACTTGTCTCAAAGGGGGTGGTTCTTTCTGCCCTGAAGAGTCCAAGGGGAGGAATGGACACTAAGGAAAGGAGATTTGCTCATCTGGCCTGTCCCATCAGGAGGCTGTGCAATGAGCAATCGCAAAGGGAGGACCATCACAAAGACAATATGCAGT